CACCCACTCCCCACTCATACTGTCAGCACCCACTCCCAACTCATACTGTCTGCACCCACTCCCCACTCATACTGTCTGCACCCACTCCCCACTCATACTGTCAGCACCCACTCCCCACTCATACTGTCTGCACCCACTCCCCACTCATACTGTCTGCACCCACTCCCCACTCATACTGTCAGCACCCACTCCCCACTCATACTGTCAGCACCCACTCCCCACTCATACTGTCAGCATCCACTCCCCACTCATACTGTCAGCATCCACTCCCCACTCATACTGTCAGCATCCACTCCCCACCCATACTGTCTGCATCCACTCCCCACTCATACTGTCAGCACCCACTCCCCACTCATACTGTCTGCACCCACTCCCCACTCATACTGTCAGCACCCACTCCCCACTCATAATTCCCGTGTCACCACAGAATGATCAAGTAACTTTATATAGGTACAGGTACACATAAACACAATTATCAATCATAGTACATACGTGTAAATTATCCAGGATCTCCAGAAAAAAAGTCAAATTAACTTATTTCCACTGGGATCCTGCACAATACTTGTTAAGTCTCACACTAGGATACGTCCCGTCGTCTCGCAGCAAATGTCAAAACATGATGGAATGCTGTTGACATCATGCATGATGAACCACACTTGTATACTTTATTAAGTGCCTGCGAAGCTCACTCGTGGGCGCAACTTCATACCAATCAAGATTTCGTTACACTGCCTTTACCACTTTGCTGAATACCTTCACTGTGTATACCTTCACTGTGTATACCTTCACTGTGTATACCTTCACTGTGTATACCTTCACTGTGTATACCTTCACTGTGTATACCTTCACTGTGTATACCTTCACTGTGTATACCTTCATTGTGTATACCTTCACTGTGTATACCTTCACTGTGTATACCTTCACTGTGTATACCTTCACTGTGTATACCTTCATTGTGTATACCTTCACTGTGTATACCTTCACTGTGTATACCTTCACTGTGTATACCTTCACTGTGTATACCTTCACTGTGCATACCTTCACTGTGTATACCTTCACTGTGTATACCTTCACTGTGTATACCTTCACTGTGTATACCTTCACTGTGTATACCTTCACTGTGTATACCTTCACTATGTATACCTTCACTGTGTATACTTCACTGTGTATACCTTCACTGTGTATACCCTTCACTGTGTATACCCTTCACTGTGTGATATACCCTTCACTGTGTATACCTTCACTGTGTATACCTTCACTGTGTATACCCTTCACTGTGTATGTATACCCTTCACTGTGTATACCTTCACTGTGTATACCTTCACTGTGTATACCTTCACTGTGTATACCTTCACTGTGTATACCCTTCACTGTGTATACCCTTCACTGTGTATGTATACCCTTCACTGTGTATACCTTCACTGTGTATACCCTTCACTGTGTATACCTTCACTGTGTATACCTTCACTGTGTATACCTTCACTGTGTATATCTTCACTGTGTATACCTTTCACTGTGTATACCCTTCACTGTGTATACCCTTCACTGTGTATACCTTCATTGTGTATACCTTCATTGTGTATACCTTCACTGTGTATACCTTCACTGTGTATACCCTTCACTGTGTATACCTTCACTGTGTATACCCTTCACTGTGTATACCCTTCACTGTGTATACCTTCACTGTGTATACCTTCACTGTGTATACCTTCACTGTGTATACCCTTCACTGTGTATACCTTCACTGTGTATACCTTCACTGTGTATACCCTTCACTGTGTATACCTTCACTGTGTATACCTTCACTGTGTATACCTTCACTGTGTATACCTTCACTGTGTATACCTTCACTGTGTATACCTTCACTGAGTATACCTTCACTGAGTATACCTTCACTGTGTATTCCTTCACTGTGTATACCTTCACTGAGTATACCTTCACTGTGTATACCCTTCACTGTGTATACCTTCACTGTGTATACCTTCACTGTGTATACCCTTCATTGTGTATACCTTCACTGTGTATACCTTCACTATGTATACCTTCACTGTGTATACCTTCACTGTGTATACCTTCACTGTGTATACCTTCACTGTGTATACCTTCACTGTGTATACCTTCACTGTGTATACCTTCACTGTGTATACCTTCACTGTGTATACCTTCACTGTGTATACCTTCATTGTGTATACCTTCACTGTGTATACCTTCACTGTGTATACCTTCACTGTGTATACCTTCACTGTGTATACCTTCACTGTGTATACCTTCACTGTGTATACCTTCATTGTGTATACCTTCACTGTGTATACCTTCACTGTGTATACCTTCACTGTGCATACCTTCACTGTGTATACCTTCACTGTGTATACCTTCACTGTGTATACCTTCACTGTGTATACCTTCACTGTGTATACCTTCACTATGTATACCTTCACTGTGTATACCTTCACTGTGTATACCTTCACTGTGTATACCCTTCACTGTGTATACCCTTCACTGTGTATGTATACCCTTCACTGTGTATACCTTCACTGTGTATACCTTCACTGTGTATACCCTTCACTGTGTATGTATACCCTTCACTGTGTATACCTTCACTGTGTATACCTTCACTGTGTATACCTTCACTGTGTATACCTTCACTGTGTATACCCTTCACTGTGTATACCCTTCACTGTGTATGTATACCCTTCACTGTGTATACCTTCACTGTGTATACCTTCACTGTGTATACCCTTCACTGTGTATACCTTCACTGTGTATACCTTCACTGTGTATACCTTCACTGTGTATATCTTCACTGTGTATACCTTTCACTGTGTATACCCTTCACTGTGTATACCCTTCACTGTGTATACCTTCATTGTGTATACCTTCATTGTGTATACCTTCACTGTGTATACCTTCACTGTGTATACCCTTCACTGTGTATACCTTCACTGTGTATACCCTTCACTGTGTATACCCTTCACTGTGTATACCTTCACTGTGTATACCTTCACTGTGTATACCTTCACTGTGTATACCCTTCACTGTGTATACCTTCACTGTGTATACCTCACTGTGTATACCCTTCACTGTGTATACCTTCACTGTGTATACCTTCACTGTGTATACCTTCACTGTGTATACCTTCACTGTGTATACCTTCACTGTGTATACCTTCACTGAGTATACCTTCACTGAGTATACCTTCACTGTGTATTCCTTCACTGTGTATACCTTCACTGAGTATACCTTCACTGTGTATACCCTTCACTGTGTATACCTTCACTGTGTATACCTTCACTGTGTATACCCTTCATTGTGTATACCTTCACTGTGTATACCTTCACTATGTATACCTTCACTGAGTATACCTTCACTGTGTATACCTTCACTGAGTATACCTTCACTGTGTATACCCTTCATTGTGTATACCTTCACTGTGTATACCTTCACTATGTATACCTTCACTGAGTATACCTTCACTGTGTATTCCTTCACTGTGTATACCTTCACTGAGTATACCTTCACTGTGTATACCCTTCACTGTGTATACCTTCACTGTGTATACCTTCACTGTGTATACCCTTCATTGTGTATACCTTCACTGTGTATACCTTCACTGAGTATACCTTCACTGTGTATACCTTCACTGTGTATACCCTTCACTGTGTATAGGTTAAATTTTGTCTAGTTAACATGTCGTGACTTGCATTAAATATTTACCTGACACGTAGAAACAGTCAATTCAAAGATAAATAAACAATCTTCTAAGTTCTTCGCTAAAACTTGTACTTTTTTCTTTTTTTTATAATTACATACTTACAATATATCACATTACATATTTACAAGGTATTCTGCGATACATAATATGTAATAAACATCAATAAACAACAATATTTACAAGTTATTACATATTTTTTTCAATAAAGTTGGTAGAATTACCGACAATATGTAAAGTAAAAGGACACAAGTGCAACTAATGTGACATTTATTGTGGCAACGTTTCGCTCTACAGGTAATGGCTTGATAAAGCTCCTGGAGAGCGAAACGTTGCCACAATAAATGTCACATTAGTTGCACTTGTGTCCTTTTACTTTACATATTTTTTTCAGGCAAGATTGCATAATCATTTAAACTACATTTAATTTTTAATTTACTTTTAGAGCTAAATCAATTGATGCAGATTATATGTAAAAATGTGGATTTTCTTTGATTGTAAGAGTCACTGTGTCTCAGTCCCATTGTGTCCTCGTCTCCTACCTGAGAGACAGTGTTGTGTCCTCGTCTCCTACCTGAGAGATAGTATTGCGTCCTCGTCTCCTACCTGAGAGACAGTGTTGTGTCCTCGTCTCCTACCTGAGAGATAGTATTGCGTCCTCGTCTCCTACCTGAGAGACAGTGTTGTGTCCTCGTCTCCTACCTGAGAGACAGTGTTGTGTCCTCGTCTCCTACCTGAGACAGTGTTTTGTGTTGCTTGTGTTTTACCTAATATGGTGTACTTGTCTGTAATCTTTCACTCGGCTTTGTTAAACAGTGTTCTGTTTCTTTATTTAATTCTTTTGAAACATAAAAGAATGACAGAAGAAATTTGTCAAATATTTCCCAGTCTCGTACATTTTTTCCAGTGTAACATAGAATACAAAGTATTATTATTATTATTATTATTATTATTATTATTATTATTATTATTATTATTATTATTTATTATTATGGGGTAGCATTAAACCCCTATGGATTATACAGTGTTTATGTGCGGACGGGGGGGATGGGCGGTATTCAGGCTTAATTCAGGGAACTGGAGCACAGATCCAATTCCTTAGATCAAGAGCCCCTCACGAGCATCAAGAAACCTCCCTTGAAGGGAGAACATGACGTAGAGTAAGCGAGTTCGTCGGTAACAAGTGACTGAACTGCTGAGGAGCCAGCTTGACTCCTTGTTTCACCACTACCACCCTTGCTACTCTGCGCTACCCTGGTCTTGATCAACACCACTCACTCGCTCTCAACACTCGCACACAAACACCAGGCAGGTGTTCGCCTGGCAGGATTAGCGCAGTATTTACTTTCTTATAAGCGTGTCGATATAAGTGTATTTTTTTTTTCTGAGAGTGTCGTGACAATGAAATCTGAAAATAGAAAACGTAAGTGAACATAGATTTGTAAGACTATATGGTATTCTTCAGTACTGGAGAGGGTTTGGCGAGTCAACGCCCCCGCGTCTCTGTCTGTGACCAGGCCTCGAAGGTATGTGTCGGTTGATTATTTTGTTTATGCGTAAATCATAACCATAACATTTTAAAGTGTGGACATGTAAGTCAATGAAAGGTTTCCGTCAGATGACCTAAAGCTCGATCATATAACTAAGAGCCGCGCCAGGAAATACTTATTCTGTTTCCTGACAAATCGTACCTAACCTAATCTAACCTAGTTGATGTGTATGGGTTATGATGTGAGGGTTATGATAAATGGTATGGTGATACCAACACTGTGGTAAGACACACAAGTGTCTTTTACCACATCGTACCACAACGTTTCGCCATAAGTGGCGAAACGTTTCCTGTAATGTCCTGAACTGTGCACAAGTGTCTTCCACAGGTGAGGGTTCTGCTCCTTGTGAAGGGGGGGACATGTTCCATAGATTACTATTTGATAATTACATTACGTACGTTATCAACGAGGAAATGCTGAAGCTAATTACGTAACTAAAAATCAGGAATTTTCGCACGAAATAAAAGCATTTAAATTTTAACATTTTTCTCCCCCATCCCTCCCCCCCCCCCCCGCAAAAAAAAAGTCAGAACTCCAAACTTTTTTTTTTTCTAGGTAAGATAGATAGTTTTTCACCAAGTAAATAAAGCAAGTTTTATGTAAACTTTGTGTACATAATATACTTTTTTTCAAACAAAGATCTTGAGGGCATGCAGAAGTTATAGACGTATAAACATTGTTGATTTAGCCTAAGATAACCAAGTCGCTAAACAATGTGACTTGCTTCTAATCAAGTGAGACATTCTCAGAGGTTCTCTGAGGGATGGCTGTCTTCTCTGAGGGATGACTGTCTTCTCTGAGGGATGGCTGTCTTCTCTGAGGGATGGCTGTCTTCTCTGAGGGATGGCTGTCTTCTCTGAGGGATGGCTGTCTTCTGTGAGGGATGGCTGTCTTCTCTGAGGGATGGCTGTCTTCTCTGAGGGATGGCTGTCTTCTCTGAGGGATGGCTGTCTTCTCTGAGGGATGGCTGTCGTCTCCGAGGGATGGCCGTCGTCTCCGAGGGATGGCCGTCGTCTCCGAGGGATGGCCGTCGTCTCCGAGGGATGGCCGTCGTCTCCGAGGGATGGCTGTAGTCTCCGAGGGATGGCTGTAGTCTCCGAGGGATGGCTGTAGTCCCCGAGGGATGGCTGTAGTCCCCGAGGGATGGCTGTAGTCCCCGAGGGATGGCTGTCGTCTCCGAGGGATGGCTGTCGTCTCCGAGGGATGGCTGTCGTCTCCGAGGGATGGCTGTCGTCTCCGAGGGATGGCTGTCCTCCCCAAGATGCAGCTTCCTTTGAGGAAAACCCATAAGCACTAAAATTTTACGCTGACCATAAGAGACATTTTCCAATTCCCAGAATCCCCACCCCACCAAAAAAAAAAAAAAATATAGAGAACCTAAACCCATCAAAGGTTCCATCCTCTTCATACGACGCATCAGCCATTCAAGAGTAATGTTAATTAAGATTTATATATAGGAAGAACCCGTAGGGGTCATATAGCGCCTGTGAAATGGGAAGCGTTCAAATTCGATGGAAACAAGGGAGGGGGGGGCGGGAAGGAAGGTCCACTTCCTTAGATCAAGAGACTCAAGACAGTATCTAGGAAAAAATAACAATATAAAATATTTTACAATTTCTACATTCATAGGTCCATTTGCATTCGTAAATGTTCTATACATGACACTACATACCTTTTCCCCTACGGGTTTAGCGCTTCCCCCTTTATTATAATAATACATAGCTTTTCTAAGACACAGGTAGCCTCCCACACAGACAGGGCGACCTAAAAACACTTTTCTTTATACATTTAGCAATGCATATTGGAGAAGGGGTTACTAGCCTCTTGCTCCCGGTATTTTAGTGACATCTTACGACACGCATGACTTAGGGAGGAAGAATTCAGTTCCACTTCCCCATGGACAATACATAGGTGGTTTCCAAATTTTCTTTCCCTGTGATAACTGATCGCCGCTTAAATTTCATCACTCGTATCCTACTCGATAGAAGGTTTGTGCGTGTGTGTGTGTGTGTGTGTGCGTGTGTGTGCGCGTGTGTGTGCGTGCGTGTGCGTGCGTGTGCGTGCGTGCGTGTGCGTGCGTGTGCGTGCGTGTGTGTGTGTGTGTGTATTGTGTACTCGCCTAGATGTACTCACCTAGTTGAGGTTGCGGGGGTCTAGTCCGAGCTCCTGGCCCCGCCTCTTCACTGGTCGCTACTAGGTCACTCTCCCTGAACCGTGAGCTTTATCATACCTCTGCTTAAAGCTATGTATGGATCCTGCCTCCACTACATCGCTTCCCAAACTATTCCACTTACTGACTACTCTGTGGCTGAAAAAATACTTCCTAACATCCCTGTGATTCATCTGTGTCTTCAACTTCCAACTGTGTCCCCTTGTTACTGTGTCCAATCTCTGGAACATCCTGTCTTTGTCCACCTTGTCAATTCCTCTCAGTATTTTGTATGTCGTTATCATGTCCCCCCTATCTCTCCTGTCCTCCAGTGTCGTCAGGTTGATTTCCCTTAACTTCTCCTCGTAGGACATACATCTTAGCTCTGGGACTAGTCTTGTTGCAAACCTTTGCACTTTCTCTAGTTTCTTTACGTGCTTGGCTAGGTGTGGGTTCCAAACTGGTGCCGCATACTCCAATATAATAGAATCCTTGGCTTCATATCAAGAAGCATAAATAATAGGAGTCCTCAGGTTGTTCTTCAACTCTATACATCCTTGGTTAGGCCTCATTTAGATTATGCTGCACAGTTTTGGTCACCGTATTACAGAATGGATATAAATTCTCTGGAAAATGTACAAAGGAGGATGACAAAGTTGATCCCATGTATCAGAAACCTTCCCTATGAGGGATGACTAAGGGCCTGAATCTGCACTCTCTAGAAAGACTAGAATTAGGGGGGATATGATTGAGGTGTATAAATGGAAGACAGGAATAAATATAAGGAGATTTGGGAAATAGTGTTCTGAAAATATCTAGCCTAGACAGGACTCGCAGCAATGGTTTTAAGTTGGAAAATTCAGATTCAGGAAGGATATAGGAAAGTACTAGTTTGGTAATAGAGTTGTGGATGAGTGGAACAAACTCCCAAGTACCGTTATAGAGGCCAGAACGTTGTGTAGCTTTAAAAATAGGTTGGATAAATACATGAGTAGATGTGGGTGGGTGTGAGTTAGACCTGATAGCTTGTGCTACCAGGTCGGTTGCCGTGTTCCTCCCTTAAGTCAATGTGACCTGACCTGACTAGGTTGGGTTGCATTGGCTTAAGCCGGTAGGAGACTTGGACCTGCCTCGCATGGGCCAGTAGGCCTTCTGCAGTGTTCCTTCGTTCTTATGTTCTTATGTTCTTATGTTCTTATATGGGCCTAACGTACACGGTGTACAGGGTCCTGAACGATTCCTTATTAAGATGTCGGAATGCTGTTCTGAGGTTTCCCAGGCGCCCATATGCTGCAGCAGTTATTTGGTTGATGTGCGCTTCAAGAGATGTGCCTGGTGTTATGCTCACCCCAAGATCTTTTTCCTTGAGTGAGGTTTGTAGTCTCTGGCCCCCTAGACTGTACTCCGTCTGCGGTCTTCTTTGCCCTTCCCCAATCTTCATGACTTTGCACTTGGTGGGATTGAACTCCAGGAGCCAATTGCTGGACCAGGTCTGCAGCCTGTCCAGATCCCTTTGTAGTTCTGCCTGGTCTTCGATCGAGTGAATTCTTCTCATCAACTTCACGTCATCTGCAAACAGGGACACCTCAGAGTCTATTCCTTCCGTCATGTCGTTCACAAATACCAGAAACAGTACTGGTCCTAGGACTGACCCCTGTGGGACCCCGCTGGTCACAGGTGCCCACTCTGACGCCGCGCCACGTACCATGACCCGCTGCTGTCTTCCTGACAAGTATTCCCTGATCCATTGTAGTGCCTTCCCTGCTTGGTCCTCCAGTTTTTGCACCAATCTCTTGTGTGGAACTGTGTCAAACGCCTTCTTGCAGTCCAAGAATATGCAATCCACCCACCCCTCTCTCTCTTGTCTTACTGCTGTCACCATGTCATAGAACTCCAGTAGGTTTGTGACACAGGATTTCCCGTCCCTGAAACCATGTTGGCTGCTGTTGATGAGATCATTCCTTTCTAGGTGTTCCACCACTCTTCTCCTGATAATCTTCATGATTTTGCATACTATACATGTCAGTGACACTGGTCTGTAGTTTAATGCTTCATGTCTGTCTCCTTTTTTAAAGATTGGGACTACATATGCTGTCTTCCATGCCTCAGGCAATCTCCCTGTTTCGATAGATGTATTGAATATTGTTGTTAGGGGTACACATAGCGCCTCTGCTCGCTCTCTCAATACCCATGGGGAGATGTTATCTGGCCCCATTGCCTTTGAGGTATCTAGCTCACTCAGAAGCCTCTTCACTTCTTCATCGGTTGTGTGCACTGTGTCCAGCACATGGTGGTGTGCCCCACCTCTCCGTCTTTCTGGAGCCCCTTCTGTCTCCTCTGTGAACACTTCTTTGAATCTCTTGTTGAGTTCCTCACATACTTCACGGTCATTTCTTGTTGTCTCTCCTCCTTCCTTCCTTAGGCTGATTACCTGGTCCTTGACTGTTGTTTTCCTCCTGATGTGGCTGTACAAAAGTTTCGGGTCAGATTTGGCTTTCGCTGCTATGTCATTTTCATATTGTCTTTGGGCCTCCCTTCTTATCTGTGCATATTCGTTTCTGACTTCGACTGATCTCCTTATTCTCCTGGGTCCTTTGCCTTCTATATTTCTTCCATTCCCTAGCACACTTGGTTTTTGCCTCCCTGCACCTTTGGGTAAACCATGGGCTCATCCTGGCTTTTTCATTATTCCTGTTACCCTGGGGTACAAACCTCTCCTCGGCCTCCTTGCATTTTGTTGCTACATATTCCATCATCTCATTAACTGGCTTCCCTGCCAGTTCTCTGTCCCACTGAACCCCGTTCAGGAAGTTCCTCATTCCTGTGT